TAGCTAATTGATTAGAGTTGCTCATTTAACGGTAAGTCTAAAAGAACTCATCGAAGGTCTTAGTGATTCGTCTTTCGAACTTCAGTTCGAAACTCGATTGTCGAGCCAAAGCAGCTTGCTCCTCGCTTATTAATAGATTAAAAAGTGTATCCCGGACAAAGGCCTTTCCTTTAGCAGCGGCTAACTTAAAAGGCATATTTGACTCGTAAACCACGGTTCACGAGTTAAATATAAAATAGCGGAATAAGGTTAGTAATAGTGGTGATCGATTAAGTGATGATTAAAGTCGTTAGTATTAGTGTAGTATTATGTAGTTGTGAAGAAAAAGTAATAATAGTATTATTATAATTGTTATTATATAAAAAGAGAAAATGTTGAAAAGAAAGAGAGAAGAGCTTTCTTATATAAGTACATTTATAAAAAGGACTTATTCTTTTCAATAGCAATTCACCTTCGAATACACGTAATTAAGCACGCTTAAAACAAAAGAACAATCTTAAATAAAAAATAAGAAATAGCCGTATAAGCTTAAACAAGTGAAAAACAATCAAACAATAAGAACAATCTGTATAAGACAAATGAATAACTAGTAAAGTAAAAAGAATAAAGAAAGAACAAAGAATACAATGAAAAGCAAGTCTAAAAGTAAGAGAACAAACGTAAGAAATACCCTTCTTTATTAATAACAAAGAGAGTGATCATTAAGGGCACGTCTTTTTATAGAATAAGTATAAAACAAAGAGAAGATAAGAAAGTAAGAAAAAACAAAGTAAAAGAAACAGACTAAGAAACAATTTTATAAGCCAGTTTTTATTCTTTCGAGAGTGTTAAAAGAATGATTTAAAAGTTAATAGACCTAGGTCCAAAGGTCACCTTTAAGTTAAGTAGTTCACTTTTGCCGTCGTCGAAAGGCTCGTATTCGCTAAAGTCCGAGTCGTTTAAAGAGCTCGAATTTTCTTCTTCTTCTTCTTCGTCGTCTTTATTAAAAGGAAAGAGGGTTTGGTTGCGGCGGTAGAATCGCTTAAGGCGGTTAGCTGCAAAAGTGCTTTTAAGCTTAATCTTATCGGTTTTTTAAAGCTTGTAATATCTTTTATCGTAAGCTTTAAAGACGATATAAAGTCTTAGCTATTTGTAATCTAGCTTAGTGTCCGCGGACATATCGATGCTGCGTTTGACATCGTAAAGCAGTACTAAGTCTTTTTCTTTAATAAGTTCCGACTTCAAGACCTTGACTCGTTTTTAAGTGGCTTTAACGGCAAGTCGATAGCGTTTCTTTTTTAAGATGATCTCGTCGATATTTTTATCTCGAAGTTCTAATTGTCTAAACTTTATAGCAAGCAGGTTAGCGCGAGATCGAACCTTTTGCTAAAGTAGTAATCTTTAGACTAGCTATCGTAACTCTAAGAGTAGCTCAACTTTTTGTCCGTAGTTCAAGAAGAAGAGAGTGACTTTAATAAGTGCGTGTATCGATGTCCGGACCGCAAAGAGCATCTTATTGAATTTGCGAACTTAATCTTTAAATTTTTCGTTTATGACTTTCGATAAGCTATTTAAGATATCTTTATAGCTTTTCTTAATCATTCTATTAGCTTTTGAATTGTAGCTTGAGATTTAGACCCTTTTGATCTCGTACTTAGTAGCGAAAGCTTTAGCAACTGCTTTGTTCTTAAGTCTTTTATCGATAGTCAGTCTTTCGAATAGTTTATAACGGCAAACGATATCTTTTTAAAAGAACTTAGCAATAGATTCGACGTTGGCCGATCGAAGTGGCCGCTCTTCCGGCTATCTAAATAGATCTTCTTTAGCTAGTACGAAGCAAGTTATTCTTTTATCGGTGATGAGAACTCGTGACACGTCCAAGCTGACTTTTGACTACATTTAAGTAAGCTAAGTCGAGTACAAAGAGTTTTCTGTTCGTCTAGCTTTGCGCTTCTAATAAGGCTTATAGCTTTAGACGAAAGCTTTGCAGTCTTCGTAGCATCCATTTTAAAAAAAGAGTTTTGACGTGCGGTGATAAGTTAACTTAGCTTTTTTATATCCGGATTCTCGGTAAGCGTCGGAAATAGCAGTGTAGCGTTTTTAAGTTCCGTCGACAACTAGCTTGATCGAGTAAGAATTGTCTGCTCGCTTATAAAAGTAATTATCTTTAACCAAGTAATTGAGTGCTTTGTTCTTGAATTTCTAAAAGTCGTAAGTCTTGATCGAAAGAAAGCGTTTAAGAGTAATAAAGAATTAAGCAATAAGCTCGGAGTCGAGCGAGTAGTCGTGCTTTAAAACTCTTTTTTTGGCTCGTAAATTATAATTCACGAGTCGTTTAACCGAGAATACTAAAACAGTACTCAGCTCGTTAATAACTTAATCGTTAATATCTTCTTCCTTTCTCTCCTTGATATTTAAAAGATGCTCTTTTCCTCTTTTAAAAAGACCGTTCGCCGCTGTATTTTTAATCTTAAAGATGTGCTTGACTTTAAAGTCTATTAATCTTATTTACGCAATTCAGTTCGTAACGAAAGCTTTAAGCAAGTCGCTTGCTAATCCGTTAAGTTGATTAACTAATACTTTAGCGTCGGTTTCTAAAATGAAGTAAACCTCGTATAATTCGCTTTTTATTTTTTTTATAGCTTTTAAGGCACCGCGGCATTCTCGCTTGGTCGCGTCGTACTTGCTTTCCGCAAGGTTTTAAAGACTACTTTCGAATTTAGCAAGATGTCGCTTTTTGTCGGAATCCTTTTGCTACAATACTGCTTTTCATCTTTTAAAACTAGCGTTTACCGTCAAGTAAATTTTCCTTCCGTCTTTATTATAGTCGATCTTAATAAAAGCGGGGGCAAAGAGCAAGGCTTTTTTAAGCAGCTTTATCGCTTCTTGCTAAGGCTTTAACTATTCGAATTCGACCTCCTTTTTTATCGTCGCGTAAATTAAGGCAGCAATCGTAAAGAAGTTTTTGATCTAGATTTTATAATAAACTACGATGCTAATGAAAGCTCGGGCTTTCGATACGTCTTCGCACTTAGTTTATTCTAGTATTTTTTTAATTTTAACGGTTTAAAAGTAGCGTCTTTCGCTATTTATAACGAATCTAACGATGTTAAGGCTAAGCATGCAGTATTAAGATTTCGTTCCGACGGTCGTCTTAACTTTTTTAAACTTCACGAGCACTTTATCGATATTTTAGATATGCTTTAAAACGAATCGTCGAATTCCGAGCAAAACTTCTTCGTAATTATAAAAGGATCGCGATCTTTTGACTTTTACGTTATTTATATAAAGCAAGCAAACGTTAAGAATGCAGTCTATAAGGATCTTGTAAATGACTTTAACGAATTAAGCGATCGAATTAATAGCTCTTATAAGTATCCGGGTCATCCGAAGCAGTCCGATAAGCGTTTGAATAGCTGTTATATCTTTAGACTTAACGTCGAAAAAGAATTGATCGTATTTAAAGAAGAAATCTAAAAGTATAGCTATCGTAAGACCGGCAAATTCGTTCGAAAACTAGTCTACGTTCGAAGCAATATTAGCGTTCTTGACCGTTACACGGTTTATCTTAATTACGGCAATGATCAGCTTGTATTTTCTCTTCTTTTTCTTCGCTATAATAAACCACTTGTTTCGATAAAAGCTTTAGCATGGTTCGAAGACCCTTTGCTTTAATCGTTCCTTTAGCATAAAAATAACTATCTCTTGCAAAGCTTTCGGTACCGTAAACGTCTTCTCTTGCCAGGCTTCGTAAAGCACCGTCTTGATCTTTTAAAGCGGCATGACTTCCTTCCGGACTTGGCCAAGATAAGTAAAATCTTAAGCTATCGCTTCCTTTCGATTCAAAAAGCATTAGTAAAGCAACTCTTTCTTTTCCGAAGTGACTTAAGAGCTAATCGTAAGTGCTTCGAATCGTTCTTTCGTTAATCTTGATCCAACTTCTAGGTTTGAAAACTTATTAATAAAGTATTTTGAAAAAAGTCTTCTAAGCTTAAAAAGTCTCGTCTTTTTATCTTGCTCGAACTAATCGTCGATCCTTTTAAGTATCTCTCTATCCGACACTTTTAAATCCACCGGTCTAACCTTCTCCGCTTTCCTTTTATATATCGTATTAACTTCTACCATATTCCTTTTTAAAAGGTCTTTATCGTTATCGATAATAAACATAAAATTTTTTGATTTATCGAGTTTGATTGCAAATATTTTTAATGTTTTTGATTTTAATAAGCTTTGCTTAATATTAAGTTGAATTGTTTTTTTATGATTTTATTGTTTTTATGCTGATCTATTCGTGAACTATAATTCACGAGCGGAATTTCCTTTTAAGCTTCTTTCTAGCTTAGCATCTATCTTAGCTTGTATGCTAGCGACTAGTTTCTTAAGTCTTCGATTAAATCCGACTTGTCTTTTGCAATAATAATTTAGCTTTAAGTAGATCGATCGTAGTTTTAAAAAAAGGCTTTCATCGTGCTATTATCGAAGTAAAAAAAAGAGAGTTGGGATTCTAAGAAGAAAAGCATGCTTAAGATGACCTCGTGACTATTATTATTAATAATAAAGAAATCGGCGTAGTTAGTGATTCCGCCGATAATAACTTCGACGTCGTTTATCTACTTATCGAAGTTGTAAAGATCTTCGAACACGGTAATATAAATTAAAGCTCGATCCGTTATAATAAGTAATTTAGTTATCTTAACCACTTCTTTGTTTATTACGTTGACCTTAGATTTATTATCGAGGAAAGATCTGCTTTTAATTATACCGTCGATATTGATGAAAACCTTTAAGGTCTTCATCGTTACCTCGAAGCAGTTGCGAGCGATAAGTTATTTGCGGATTTGCGTCGCTAAGAAGTCTAGCTTGCCTTTTTTATTCCGACTTAAACGTCTAACAATTAAGGCGTTCATAAGAATAAGCTTACTTTAAAGGACTTCTACGTTTTCTTTAGCATCGAGGACTATTAGAATGTGGTGGCTTAATAGCTTGTCGAAGCGAGAGCTGAGTCCGAACAAGTCTTCAATTTAAACTTCGATTCTCGATTTTATAATCGCCGCTATTGCTTTTTCTTGAGCTTTAGTAATAACGTAAAGGTCAATGAACTTCTTTCGTCTATAAGTCTTTTTCTTCCTTTTTCTTGATACTCGCTGAGTGATCTCAACCTCTCTTTCTATATCTTTTATAGCCTCGTCGGCTTTAGTTAGTCTAGAAGGTCTAGAAGACTCTTCTTTAATTAAACCATCGAACAGCTTATCTTTCGAGTCTATCTTTACAATAATACTCGATTCTTAAGAAGCACGGGCTTTAAAGGTGCCGTAGTTCTTTTCTTTTTGTTGTCGGACATTCTTCTTGATCTTAGTAGGCTTAGATCCTTTTGAAGGCTGGAAAGGCTTCTTGGCTTTGTCTCTTGCGGCGGCGTTGATCTCGACCGAAGCAATCTTTATGCTAGATAAGTAGCTAAGCGTATTAATCTATTTTATAATATTAATATTTTTAGTATCGATTAGTCTTTTAAAAATAGTGGTAAGCTCTTTTAGCTGGTTAGTTGGTTACTAAACATTTTGATCGAGCTGATACTAAGCTAGCTGTTAGATTGGTTGTTGATAAGAAAGTAAGTGTCTATAAGTCTTAAGTCCGTTAATAAGCCGATTTTTTAAGATGTTGTCGTATTCCGTCTTACGAACGTTTAGTACGATGGATCTGAATCAAGTCTTTCTTTGCTTCTTCTGGATAATAAGAGCACCGATCCTTTTAAGTCTTAAGCAAAAGCGTTCGTAATTATTAATATAAATATATCTTTTATTAACTATGTTTTTAAAGGCTTTACACTTATCCCGGTATTAATAAGAAGCTTGAGTTGTGTCTTCGAAGTTCTTGCAAAAGCTATAATCTTGCATTTAACTTTCGTATCTTCTACCTCTTCTTTTTCTTCGTCTTTATGGTCCGTAACCGACAGCAGCAATTTAAACTCCTTCTTCGAGGCTGACCTTATTTCGAGCATTTTAAGCGGTATATTTAATAAAGGCTTCGTCGCGGTCTTTGAATCGAACTTGAAGTTAAGATTAAACAAAGCGTCGAGAAGTTGAGTTAACGACTTAGTCTTCGAAGTAATCAATTCGATTATAGATCGCATTAATCTGCAAGTTAAAAAACTTTTTAATTATAAAACCTACTTTATCAATTTCTTTTTTTTTACTCGTGAATTGTAGTTCACGGGTGAACGGCACTATTATTAAAGCTTTCTTAACAGACTCAAAAACGCTAGCTAGCTCCGTGTATTCTTTAACCAAGGTTCGAATATCTTTAGTAAAATTAGTTAAAGAAGACTTTTTTCGATTCATAGCTTCGATAGTCTTAGCGCTTTAGTCGGTTTTAAAAGCGAATGCAGCGAAGTTATCGAAAGCGGTATAAAAGTCTAAGTCGAGTTCGTCGACTTTATAATGCTTAATCGTTTTGTTTCGGATTCCGACGAGCAATCCGAAAAGGAATAAGCGGCTTTGTTCGGTCTTGCTTAAAAGGTGCATTAAAGTAAGCTTTTCGGAGACTCGAAAGAAGGTGCGATAGTAGTTTTTCAGATTATTAATATCCCGTTCTTATATAGCAAATTCCCGTAAAAAAGCGACCGAGTCTTTAATCTGCTAAGTATCGTTTTTACGAAACTCGGCTCTTAAGGCCTTAACGAAAGCAACTTAATCTTTCTTAGTTTTTTATTCGAGTAAGCTCTTGATAACTTCTTTGCAAAGGTTATCGTAGTAACGAAGGAGTTTGACAAACCGATCATCTTTAAAGATACTAAAGTCATCACAAGTTTCTTCGTACTTTTCGATAAAGTCGGTGATGTTAGCACTACTAAAGCAGAAAGCTCTTAAAGCGCTTAGCAATAGCATGCGAGTAGTCATAAAGGCGTGAAAGATAGCAAGGTCGACTATAACTAGCGTAAGGCTTGGTAGAAGAGCAAGAAAAGCAAGAGGAAGAGGAGTAGTATAGATCTTAAGACCGGTGTTCATTTTAAGAGACATTTCCGAGGTAAGTGTTTCCGATAAAAGTAGCGGTAAGGGTTTAAGTTAAAGGTCGAAGTAAGATGAAAATGGTTCGAAGCCTATAAGAATACGATTAAAAGATTTAACAAATTTAAAGGATTCTGACGAAAAAAGAGATGATTCTGCGCCGACTTCGATATTAGAAATCTTAAAAAAGTTTTCGGTATTTTAAGGATCAGATATGTATATGTATTAAGAATGATCGAGTTGATAAAAGGTTTTTAAATTATTTGATTTTGACTCGTGAACCGGGTTCACGAGTAAAATAAGCGATTTTCGTAAAGTATTCTCGATCCGAAATTAAAAAGAGTAGACCTTTTGCAAAAGTAAACTAATAAACAAGATCAAAACTATAAAAAACTTAAGAATCAATTGATTAGCTTCGCTAACAACTCCGGACTATATTAATTGCTTTAATTTAAGATGAGAGCTAAAGTATAAAAAGATATTTTCACTAATAAGTGAAAATTCTTTCTTATTAATAATAGAAGAGAGTTTTTGCCGAGGAGTCGAAATATTGTACTTCGGCCATTTCGGCGTTTCGATGTCCGAACTTATCGGGAATAAGGTTTTAATTGTTTTGAAGTCGTAGTTGTAAAATGAAGTGCTAAATGAACGAAGATCAACTTGACTGCGAATCAAGCGATTATAATAAGCTGTATAAAGACAAAGACTAAAGGTTTGAATCCTTGCGTAAGTCATTAATGTAGAAGCACCTAAAAAGATATGCTGTATAGAAGCCTGGCTCTGAGGCTAGACCTCATAGTCTTACAAAAGAGATATCAGAAAAGGTAGGTAGAAAGCTCGTTGATTGTTCTAGCTAAGAGATGTGTGCCCTCTTATAAAAGATAGGTCCGTCTAGTGTGGCCTTAGTGGCCATGGCAGGTACCCCATCAGGCAAGGTGTTTACAATAGCTGCGCTAAGAGCACTTTAAAAAGAGCTTTTAAATTTAATATCTTTTTATTAAAAAGATGCACGCTAACGGTCTTATTAAGAACTTAACTCGACAAAAGTTTAAAAGCTTTATTAAGCTCTTGAATTTATAAGACGCTCGCGCGTTAATCGAAAAGCTTTAATAACACGCATATACTATTCATTTATTTCATTTCATTTTTTTTTCATTTACACGTAATTCAAAAGAAAACATCTATTTAGCAATTATAACCGTTATTTTATTTTATCTTATACGCTTTTACCTTTCGTCTTTTTATAACAAAAGATCGATTAAAGCTTTTAGCAATCTCTTTATTTTAGCTCGGCGCTTCGTAAAAGTCATAGCAACGGCGGGCGCCGCCGCGAAAGCGGCAAGCGCAACGACTAGCGCAAAAAAAGCAACGACGACGAAAGCAGCGAGAGCGACAAAAGCAATAAAAGCGGCAAGCGTAAGAGCTGCTATAGCAGCAGATTAAAGCTTTTGCATAAAGTCCGAAAAGAAGTTTTAATTAAAAAGAGCTGCTTAAATTAAATTATTTCGAAAGTTAAAAAGCTTGACTTACGAAAAAGTAATATGCTCGAAGCGCTTTGCGTCATCGGACTACGGTTTGCTATTATAAGACCATTTAATCTAATAAAAGCTATATTCAAATTAAAAGTCTTAAAAGCAAAAGCAAAACTTGCAAAACTATCGAAACTACTTTTAAAACCTTTACTTCTATTCGTTAAACCGCTCGGACCACTAGCAGCACTTTTTAAAAGAGCAGTATTTAAAGCGAGCTGTTATCGCATAGCATCTTAAAGACTTTAGCGAACTTTTTAGATAGCACTACTATCTTTAGCGCTTACGAAGTTATCGAAAGCGGTGTTAGCAGCGGCAAAAGCAACGGTACAATTGCTATAGCTATCTTTAGCACACCGAAGACAGCGTATAACGCTCGTGTCGCAATTATAGCAGTCTTTATTAGACCTCGATATAATCCTACTATTGATGCACTTGATGCACCTTAAAGCCTTAACGATCGTTAACATAAGCAAGCGCTTAATAAAAAGGTTTAAAAAAGGAGGCGAAGCTTCGAAAGTGAGAGTGCGTAGTATAGCCGCCGCAACCGCCGCAACTGCAACAGCAGCAATAGCTAAAACAAAGAAAGGATTCTCTTAATAATCAGCATAAATATATTAATCTATTAAAAGCACTTACTTTTAAACGGCTTCGACCGCGCTTAACGATTCTACTAGACTAAGTTACTTGCTTAAAAGGCATTATGTAGATAGATAAAAGTTAAGTGTTTATTATAATAGAAAAGAACGCGCTCTTACTTATATAGCAACGCGATAAAGACGGCGCTAAAGATCTCCGCTACGTAATAAGATCGACTTAAAAAGGAATTGCATTTTTAATTGATACTTAATTAACAATGATAACCGCTATTTGTTTATTTAAACTACGATAACAATCTCTTTTGTTTACATCGAGTTTAAAAAGCTTAATTACTCATTTTTTTTTTTCTTTTCTATTTGCTTACAGCTTAGCAGCTACGCTATTGATTTAAAAGGTGTGTTGTGCGGAATAAGCATAATTCTACCCAAGCTACATGTAACATGTCATATGACCTCGCTTAATAGCGCTTTTAGCACACTAAAGCTTTTAAGTACATGTATATAGATCTTGACGAGCTTCTTAAATAGAATATACCAAGCTTCATTCAATCTACAAAATCTCTTCTTGATCTTAGTACTAGTAAGCACTACAAAAGTTTAAGAATAAAGCACTCAACTACTTAATTAAAGATAATTACCTTTACAAGCGAGCAAACAATTCTTACTTGATTAAGCTAGTTATTAACGGAACTTAAAAACGCTACACTACTATTTTCGACGCTTATCGAAAATCAAAACATAAAAAAGCCGAATCAACTTATTACCGTACGTTAAAACTCTTTTTTTAAAATAAATATTATAAAGATTATAAAGCCTTCGTTTAAAGCTATAAGCTTTATTAAAAACGCAAAGCTAAACGAACAAAAAACCTTTTGTACTCGACTTAGCTTACTTAAATATAATCAAAAGTCAGCTTAAACGTATTACGAGTACTTATTACCGATAAAAGAATGATTTGCTTCGTACTAGCTAAAAAAGACTTATTTAAATAGCTAAAAAAACGATTATTTCGATCGGCTAACGCCGAATCTATTATTAAGTTCTTTTAAAAAGATATCGTTTGCCGCTACGGACTATTCGAAAGACTAACTATCGATAAAAGACTCGAGAACAAAGCAGTTGCTAAAGCTTTCGCTATTAAATACGAGATCAAGAAAGTCTAAATCTCGAGCTATAATTCGAAAGCTAATAGAATAATTAAAAAAAAACATAAAAACATTTTAAATAGCTTATCGAAAGTTATAAATAAAAGATTTAAAAATTAAGTTCGCAAATTCAATAAGATGCTCTTTGCGGTCCGGACATCGATACACGCACTTATTAAAGTTACTTTTTTCTTTTTAAACTACGAACGAAAAGCTAAACTACCTTTAGAATTACGATAGCTAATCTAAAGGTTATTACTTTAATAAGAAGTTCGATTCCGCGTTAACTTGCTTGCTATAAAGTTTAAATAATTAAAACTCCGAGACGAAGATATCGACGAGATCATCTTAAAAAAGAAACGCTATCGACTTGCCGCTAAAGCCACTTAAAAACGAGTTAAGGTCTTAAAGTCGGAACTTATTAAAAAAAAAGACTTAGTATTGTTTTACGACGTTAAACGCAGCATCGACATATCCGCGGATACCAAGCTAGATTATAAGTAGCTAAGACCTTATATCGTCTTTAAAGCTTACGATAAAAGATATTACAAGCTCTAAGAAACCGATAGAATTAAGCTTAAAAGCACCTTTGCAACTAACCGCCTTAAACGATTCTACCGCTGCGATCAAACCTTCTTTCCTTTTAATAAAGACGACAAAAAAGAAAAAAAAGAAGATTCAAGTTCTTCGGACAACTCGGACCTTAACGAATACAAGCCTTCCGACGACGGCAAAAGTGAACTACTCAACTTAAAAGTGACCTTTAAACACAAATCTATTAACTTTTAAATCATTCTTTTAACACTTTCGAAAGAACAAAAACTAACTTACAAAACTGTTTCTTAATCTGTTTCTTTTACTTTTGTTTTTCTTACCTTCTTATCTTCTCTTTGCTTTACACTAGGCTGCTCCATGGGGTGGGGGCCCCACGGGGTTTTCCTCCCCATTCGCCCTATGGGGCTTTGGCCGATGGGGGATTTTTTTTTTAAAGCCCCATGGGGAGGATTTTTTTAAATGAAATTACCTACGGGGGATGGGGAAACCCTATGGGTTTAAAGTGGGGCTAGTTATAAGTCACGTTACTTGAAAAGATTTAACTTGCACGTGCTTGCCGAGCTCTTGAATTAAAGCTAAGTATATTATAATCGATTAGTAAATCTATTAATAAATCGATTAATAAATGAGATTAGTAAATGAGATTAGTAAAAGTGATTAGTAAATATGATAATTAAATATGATTAGTAAATGTGATTAGTAAATGTGATTACTAAATGTGATTAGTAAATGTGATTAGT